TATACTCACAGGTTCTGGGGATTAGGATCTCATGTCTTTGAGGGGCGGGATTAATCTACCTACCACACGAGACCACAAGGGCCACAATACAAACACCAGCTAGCAAAAGCACGGAGCCTGTTGTTCCGCTTTCCACCAACATCCCTTAAAGCACTGCTCCAAGGAGAGACTGTTTGTCTTTGCGCAGCTCAAGATAAACCAGGTTCACCAGCGGTGAGCCCTTTTCAACTCCATATATATTTTTGATCATCCAGTATGCACCAGAAACGGTTCGGTTCTGTGGGAAAATCAAAGGTGAAGACGGCAGGAATCCTGGTAGGTCAGGTTTACGTAAGGGTACAGGTGGGTCAGTAAGGGTCGTGGACTTACAGGGGATCGCAGTGTTCACTCTCTTTGGGAAGGTTTAGTAGGGCACCCAGTGCTCAGGAAGGGTGGGGCTTGAGCGGTGGGGTGGGGGGGCAGGGAAGGCCGGAGCAGCCCCAGGGCAGTGCAGGACCTGGCACTTTCACCTCCTCTCACAAAATCGCGGGCTTTTGTGAGCAGATAAGAGAAGTGACTTTGCAGCTCCAGACAGTCTTGGACAAGTTGCCTAACCTCTCGGTGACAGGTCAAATGAACTTTTAAGCTCAGATTTTCTTACCTTTTTTTAATGTGAAAAGTAAGAACTTTACTATCACCTACCTGAGAGGGTTACTGTAAAAACTGCTTTCGGTAATGTAAAGAGAATCTAGGACAAAGTAGCTGCTTAATAAGTATGAATTCTCTTCTCTTCTCCTGCCCTAGCAAATAAACAAACTCTCTCACTCTCTCTCTCTCTCTCTCTCTCTCTATCTCTCTCTCTCTCCCCACCCCCTCCCTCTCTCTTCTCCTCTCCTCTCTGTTGGTTTCGGCCCCTTCCTCAGTACTGCCACAGGCCCGGCTCCAGTTTTTTAGCACAGCCCTTGCTAATCATTCTACAACTGTCTGACCGTCTGTCCCCCACCCTGTTTGTGAGCTCCTCGAGGACAGAGCCTGTCTTTCTCGCCTGTGGCCCTCGCCGCCATCTCAGTGTGAGCCCTTTAAGGACTCATGACTACATGACTAAGGACTGAAGAAAGCACAAGAGAAGAAAAACTGCTTGTCTTTGGCATGGATGCGGAAGAACAACACTAATTTAGTCCTTGTGTGAATGGTTCCCACCTACGACTAGTTCCCAGGCCTCGCATTAGGAAGTTCCTCTACTGAAAACTTAAAACGTGGAGGGCACAGTGCTCAGCCGTCAATCCCTGCCATTCCTTAGGTCTGGCAGAGACTCCTGCCTTGGGTCAGGAACAGCGGGTTACTGTACAGGGCACACATAGACAGGGCCACAATCTAGAAACCTAGATCCAAAGGCTATCTTACAGGCCCGAATTAAAAGGTCTCCTTGAATCTCTAGTTCAGTAGAAACCCACTGTGCAGAAAGCTACTGCTTATCTCTAAATATAAGAAGACAATCGCTCACCTCGCCAGGCATTCACACCTAGGCTCCCTATTAAAGAGGTACAGAAAAAGGTAGGGAAGTGAAACCAAACCAGCCGCAGAAAACTATACACTAGATGTGTTCAGAATCCGTGTGGGTGATTTACATGTGTGACATTCCTTAAAACGCTAAGAGGGCAAGAACCATGAACTATGTTCTGGAGTACACAGCTCCATTGTGGCGCCTTCGAAAGTACAGGCAAACCAAGAATGTGTCTATTTAGTATTTGTCAAGCAGACATTTGAAAGTCACACTAAAAGACCCCAGTCAGATCTTTCCTTAGTTCACAGATGAGAAACCTGGACCCCTAATAAATGGCAGCTGAACGAGGATGCGGAGTTGGATTCCGCCTGTCATACCTCCTCTTGCCTCTTATTTGCCAGGTACTAGACACACTCACAGACGTGATCTCAGTTAATCCTCCTGCTCACCCTGCAGGGAAGTTTTATCCTCCCCATTTTACAGTGGTAAACAGAAACGCTCAGAAAACGTAAGCTTCTAGCATCTAAATTTCGCCTTGGGAAAAGGCGATTTCTTTCTCCTCCAAAACGTCCCAATCATTAAGCACACGTTGCCGGACTAAACAGGATGTTCTGCGAGAGGGGTACTTGGCACCACAGAGAGGGAAGGCCATGGGTTTTGAGGCAGCTGCATGACGCCGGAATACCATCGGCACTGTTACTTACCCGGGCGGGCCGCCGGCCACTCACACGGTCCCGATTCCTCAAATGCCCTATGACCTCACCCAAAGTCGGGTCTTGCCAAAGACCCCTCGGGAGTCCAGGACTTGGCATGTTCGGGGACAGATGACATTCGGATCCCTATACCACTTCACAGGACCAGGGAAAAAATGACCGCAACTTCCCTTGCACTTGGTTCCTCCCCCAGAGAGCTGTTGAGCCTCATCTGGAAACAGCTGAGAGGCAGCAGCTAACAGGAAACCAAACCAAAAAAAAGCACAGGGTGTACCAGGGAGAGTAAGGCAGCTAGAACTAAGAGGCCAGGGGACAGACAGGAAGTCGAAGTTAGAAAGCCCAGGCCAGAAACAGTCACACATAAGAGGAGGCCCAGCTGGCCTTCCCTCGGCCAAGGAGGAGAAAGCCTGAAACAGTGGTGAAGGCTCAGACCCCGCCCGGAGGGAAGTCAGAAGTTAAGACTTCCCTCGCTGCCCCCCATCGCAACCCTACTTCTCTACAGCCAGTGGTCACGATGGGACAGCTGAGGTCAGAAACTCCCTTCGGTTCTCGTGCTTTCTGTGCCAGAGGCTCCAGCCCAGAAAACTGGTTTTGAGTCATTTCTCTGTCAATCTGTACCAAAGTTCCACACTGCCAGCTCGACTCGAGGGCTGTCCAAACCAGCTTCACACAGAGAGACAAAGAGCATCTTCATGAGAAATCGCTCGGCAGATATCTATCCACTGGGGGCCTGTAGTGGCAGGACGGGTGCACGCGGCGGGCGGGAGGTGCTGGAGAGCAAGGTAAGCCTCCAACCAAACTAAGGGTACATTTTGCAACGAAGACAGTTATTTGAGAAACGGCCAATGCCAAAGTATTTTTGAAAGAAGTGGGGGGGAAAATGCCATTACTAAAATTCCTTGGTGTTATTTAATATGCCTTTAGGTTATCCAAACTGAAGGCAAAGGGTTTATTTTTCCTTTAGCAGAGCTTAGGCGAGAGCTTTCTAACCCATGCCTCCTGCTACTCAGTCATCCATTCTCTCCCTGTACATGGAGGAGTTTATATTAAAATAAAGAAGAGGATTAAGTTCTCTTAATAAAACACATTCCTGTCTTTCACCTCTAGTTTTGTGTGAAAGGGCTCTCTCACACTGGAGCATATGCTACATTCTAGGTGGGTTTGATTCCAATGAAAGTGCTTAAAATTTGAGATGGAGTTAGCAGGGCTAAAAGAAGGCAGGGGGCTGCAATCTCAATACCACTGGTTTTAAATTAAAAAAAAAAAAAAAAAGGAAAAGAAAAGAAGAAAATAAAAAGAACAGAACATCTTCACAGGCTCAGTGGCAGCTCCAAGCGGCAAGGCCAGAGAAGCTGAGCACAGCCGGACCCTGGACCACAGGGGGCTGGGGGGAAGCCAACGGGTAACCCCTCCTGCATCCCGCCGGCAAACAAACCATTAAGGAAAGCTTCGAGAGAGGAAATGGGAGGGTGGGGGCATTTCAGGAACATAACAAAGGAACAAGTTGACTAATCATTTATTCCACAGGAGGTAAATGTCACCCGGTGCTGTGTATCTAGAGTTTTAACTTCAGGTAAATGTGTAATGTTTTAACTTGGATATATTCCGGGCTCACGGCTCTCCAAAAAAAAATGTGGGAAAACGGGAGGGGGAGGGGAGGAATGTTCCTACTCTTCTTTACAGTTTCTAGAATCTCCTAGGAAACTTTTCCTGTGCTGCCTGCAGAGTAGACTTAAGACAGTCCAGCTACTAAAGCAATAACCCCCACTTAGCAGAGATCCCATCATGAGCTGGGTCTGCTCTGCACTGCAGCTGGTCCCAAAAAGTTCTGCTGAGGCAGAAGGTACCTGAAGCAAATACCGAACACACACTGAGGAAGGCAGAGAGTGGAAAGGTGTTTTAAGCCGTGAGGGCCAGGTACTTCTGGGACTTGGAAAGAGACCTCGCCCACAGCGGAACCCGTCGGGATGGTGCCTGGGATGCCTGCCCTAAGCACTGACATCCCCATATAACGTTTCAGGGCCGGACCGAGAAGCCTCCAACTTGCCAGGAGGACAGACTGCACCTCCAACGGCTGTGGCCCCAGAAGTCTTCCTAGGAGACACCCAGCCCGCCCCCTTCATCCCCACCCCCACCCCCACCCCGCGCAAGTTGGGAGAGGGCTTCCCAATGAAGGGGGTGTGAGGAGACCCAGCCTTCCTCTGCTGGGAGAACAGAAAAAAGGAGCTGACATTTATGGAGCATCTAGCTCTGCGCCAGACACGGGAATAAGCACTTTATCTATCTCCTTCCATCCCCACCACAGCCCGTGGAGGCAGATCCGACTGTCATCCCCTCTTCAGAAAGGAGGAAACGGGGCTGGGAGATCTTACACAACCATTAAGGGCTGGAAGCCAGCTTAACCCACTCCTGGACAGGTGGTCTCAACCACGACTCGATATTGCTGGCAACACAAAGCGTTCAGGCGAAGAGGTGGATACAGTCGAGTGACACAAGGTGCAGACAGTATTTACACCTCTTTCTTTGCCAAAATCGGCGGCCTCGGGACGTTGGAAGGGAGGGCCTGGATACGGGAACATGAAGCCGGAAGAACCCAAGCACTGCTGACAGGGGGACAGGCCAGGACCCCAGCCCCTCTCGCTTCCGCTGAGGACCCCAGACCCGAAAACCCTCCCGAAGGAGACCCAAAGGGAATGCGTGAAGTCAAGGGGTTCCTCAGGCGGCCCAGCCCCCAACGCGTGTTTTGTCAAAGGGGGATGTCCCGCTGGACAGGTGGGGCCTGCCGGGGGTCGCCGGGTCCCTACCTGTAGGCCAGGCTCATGCACTCGAAGAGCTTGGTGAGCGAGGCGTCGATGGACAGGTGGCAGGAGCTGGTCTTGCCGAAGCTGTAGGTCTGGCACGTCTGCTTGTTGACCGTGTCGAAATCGTAGCCTTTCTTGGGCGGGTGCTCTCGGTGCGGCGACGACACCATGAAGTGGCCGCTGTGGATGATCTGCTGGCGGCGCGGAGGCTCGTCGCGGCCCGGTCCGGCCCGGGGCGGC